AAATTTACTTTATAATTAATGCAAATGCTATTACCGAAAGCAGCGTTTGTTATATTTATTAAAAATTTTTTAGAATGTAATGACAATTTTTGAATAAAAATTTACCGTGCCATTTTAAAATGTCACTTTCTCAGGAACATAACCACAATTAGTCCCAATGTTTTTTATTTTTGCGTAAAGCACGCATGTTACGCTGTGAATTTGAATGAGAACCAAAATAGAAGATGAAAAAGATAAATCCGTTGAAATGACGCTATGCTTGTGGTATTCTCAGATCTTTTTTTCTTCATTGAACAAACAGCCTGAGACAAAGCAACTGGCCGTCTGACTCATATTGTTGCTGGCTTTTTAACCAGTCCACCGTGATATTTATAGAATAAAAATATTCAAATCGAATTCCTAATCAAATCAGCTATAGGTGGTATTGAATTTTGTTTCGACAATTATAATTTTTTTCAATATCTTGAGTAATGATTACTATTTGTTTATTAATTATTTGTATATACATTCTATGTTATTAAGCAGGAACATCCTCTATTTTCATATTGCAACAAATGTCATCAAAATTTATTAGCTTACTTATGGCACAAAAATTTTGTTAACATGAGTTTGTAGGAATTTTGTAAGCATTTTGTTAATTTCAAAGGTTACAGATTATTTTGTTAGTGTTTAACAAATTATTTCGTTAAAAAAGTACACTTACAGTCAATTAAAACATTTACCACTGACAATACGCATCAACAAGTTCAACTGACTTCAGCGTCTGCAACTTATGTTTCTGCTTACTTTATTTTAATTCGTATTGTAACATCTGTTCAAAGTGTTTATATTACCAGAAATCTGTTATTATTTTTTTTTTGATTCCTTATATCTATTTGAAGTGCGAAGTATCCGAAAAAAGATGCCATCACTGGTTTTCAAACTGAAATTAGGGGATACAGTAAAGTGGGTTAAAGGTACCAAAAACATCTGTAAATGTAGTGGTACTAATATTTATATTGTAACGTTTTTTTTTATAATATATTGATTTTCGAATGGTTTGTTATTTAATTGTGTATATGTTATTTTTGTGTTAATTTATATTAATTATTTTTGAAAATTACGAGAATTATGGTTATATTATTGATTTAGGAGTTTATAATTCTACAAAATGTTTTTTAAATGTTAATTACGAACTACTTATTCTATTAGATAACAGATTGTAAACTTAGCAAAAAGTTATGTGGACCTGCATTAACATAAAATCAGGTTAATATTTGGTTAACGTTTACAAACATTTTTTTACTGTGCAAAAATGTCATGATTTTAAAGAAATTATTTCTTTAAAATCATGACATCTTTCCTGACGCAATGTCCACCTCCATCTCCAAACTTCAGCCTGTGTGATTTTTAAATTATTATGTCTGAGAAATAAAGTAAGGAAGTGATTAATGAGTCAAATTAAAAAAAAACGTCAATATTTTTGATTGCGAGGAGTGGCATCACTATTGCCAACAAAAACATTAAATTATCTCTATTGTTGTATGCGTTAACGGTATCTAAAACCGAAAAAATAAATAATTATTCCTGTGTTGTTCTAAAAAAATTAATTAGCAGAAACAGGATATAAAATTCCGGCATGTTAAATTAACTTTTGCTGACAGGGTACAACGAGTTGTAGCAACAAATAACATGATATTGCATTTTGTAAGCAAAGGTCATTATGTCAATTAGTTCTTTTGGTCGCATATAAATCGAGCAATCGATAAAATAATGTCACTGAGAAACGATTTCGATCTTGACTTTTTCGCACTTGTTAAAACCGACATGATCAATGAGTTTGTTTCAACTTGCTTTACGTACTTCCCTATCTTATCTCCGCACCAGCTAAAAGGAAAAAGTCGCACTCGACATTTTTCAGGATGCAACTCTTGCTGCGGAAATTTTACTATTTAGAGACCCCAAAAAAAATCTAGGGGAGTCAAATCTGGAGATCTTGCCGGCCAACAAAACAATATTAAATAATCCCCAACACCAAAACAAGCGCTCCTCTTCTAAGCGGTCCCCTGCAGAATATTTTGAAACAAAGTCATACACTAAGACACTTAAATCAAAGATAAACCCTTTCTAAACAATCCCGTAGAAGATTTACAGCGAAATAAACAACCAAGCGAAAGATTTTAAACGTTTTTAATGCCACTTTTAAACAGCTCCGATCTCTTCATGAAGAAATCTGCAGTCGACATTTTTCTGCCATAAATAAATCATGTTTTATGGGAAAATAAATTCGTGAAGTAAAAAAAAAGCTAAAACAATGAATCGTGAAATATCCGGTGGAAGAGTGTTAAGGCCGCATTTAGGCACAACGAACACTTTATCTGCCAGGTCAGGCATGAAGAAGTTTATGGTCGGAATAATATACTAAAGTATCTTATAAGATACAATAGTATAAGACAAAAATTAAAAATAAATTGTTTACCCCCAAATCGTCATTTTGGTTGCTGTTTTAAAGAATTATGATTGTGTTAATATTAAGTATACAGTAATTTTTTTTTTAATTTTTACCCAATATTCACCAAATTTTATGTTAATCCAGGTCCACATAACTTTATGTTAAGTTTACAACCAACTGTAAACTGTTAACTAATTAAATAAGTAGTATGTCAATAATTTAACCATAATTCTGTAATTTTCAAAAAGGACCGGTCTAAAAACCTTTTTGTAGACCCAGTAACAAAAGTTATGGTAATATATTATAAACAGTTCTAACGAACACGTTACAAATTAGAATATAATAAGCAGAAACATAAGTTGCAGACGCTGAAGTATTAAATATTTTAATTGACTGCCTAAAATCACATGTACTTTTTTAACGAAATAATTTTTTTAAACATTACAAAATAACCTGTAACCTTTTAAATTAACAAAATACTTACGAAATTGCATATGCCTTTACAAAACTTTCGGTAAAATATTTTACTTTGTTAAAATAAATACAAATCCTGGTTTTATACAAAAAAATATGTTAAAATTTTACAAAATAAAATTAACAAACAACAAACTCATGTTAACAAATTTGATTTTTTTAACAGTGTAGTTGATATATAGATTAGGATAATAAAAAGTCTTAGTTTTTCAAGTTACACCATAATTATTTACCAAGAAATTTCTTTCTCCTTACCTGTAAAGATTATTATTATTATAGTAAAAGTTTGTTTCAAGGGGTAACTTTTATAACTGAACTGATTTCAAAAATATACCTAATCGGAATTTGTGTGTCTTCTATTGTTTTTGCTTAATCGTTGCATGTGCTAAAAAAATCAATTCTTCTGGCATGTTTGATCAGGACATCTTTTAAATTTTCACTTGAAATTGTTGAACTTTTACATTACTAAATATTGGTCGTTTTTTAAAAAATACATATAACATGTAGGGAAATAATCAGCAATGATGGTAAATCGGTTTTATTTACAAGTGACTATGATATTACACATTAATTAAAAATAGCAAAAAGGTTAAAAATTAAAATACGTCTTCAGTTCGCAACGGCCCGTTAAAATCTGTCCTTCTTGTTGAACGCAGGTACCCGTTACACATCTGGGCTGAAAACTTTCTCTCCCTCTACGTCACAGATATTGCCAGACGCCCCTAGGAATTCCAATATTTGACCTGTCTTGTTCTTATCCTGTCATAAACAAACTAAAAATATACCTACTTAAAAGCAAAATTATGTACGGATTATATTTCTCAGGCAAAACAAAATTTATTATATACAACTTAAATATTTAGACAAAAAACAGATACTACAATCGGCCATCCTACAAAATAATCTCTGCCCTCAGAGGTTGTCTTCGGCGTCTTCGTCGCTGGTATCAGTTTCGTTGTCGCAGCTGGCCCACGATTTCATTTGGCTAGCGGCTGATGACGTCTCCTGTGGTCCTTCATGTTCGCCGACTTTAGCAACACTGTACCGATCGTGTCGCATTACTCGTACGATCCTGTATGGCTCCAGAAATTTTGAACGCAATTTCAATCCAGGTGCGAATTGCGTTCTCTTGATCGCTACCAAATCGCCCTCCTTGAATTTTGTCGCCTTTTTTCGATTTTTATTGGCGCTGGGGTATTTTTCTTCGGCCGATGTCGTCTTACCGTTCGCCTGATCAACAGGATGAAATTGTCTATTTTCACTGTCACGCTGCATTGAAATTACCCCGTAACCGTATCGCGATGCATCGGTATGCAATTCCGTCTCGACGTAAACACGGTACGATCGTAACATCGGTTTACACGTCAGCGCCGTTTTTAATGTTTCAATACTTTTCACTTCGCGCGCCTCGAACTTAAAGTTCGCCTCTTTTTTTAAGTCCATTAGCGGTCGTGCTCGTTGCGAATATCGCGGAATGAACTTACGAAAATATTCCGTTAGTCCTAAAACACTTTGCACTGTCTTAATATTCGTAAGTCTCGGAAAATGGTTAACTGCTTTTGTCTTTGGCACTACTACTAACACATCATCACTGATTTCTTTACATAAAAGTTCTTTTTTTATTAAAGTACCGTCGTCCGCGTCGCGTGTTGCTGCGTCAATTAATTTACGCACGTTCTCGTCTTCATTTCTCTCCGACGGAGCTAATCTTCTCGGCCTGGCCGACACTTGAATATCGTCTTTCAGAATAATTTCAGTTTGTATTCGTACACTACAGGTTTTCTCAGGTAATTTTTTCAGCTTTTCGCGGTCCTGAGGTTTGTCTTCGTGTGCTAGGTCATCGATCACATTTATTTTATAAATATGCGGCACTTCTGAGTAATTGTCAGTTTTATTTATTTTTGCGAACGTAACGTCACCTCCTTTAACGCGCATTTCCACTTTGTCAAGAAAATCCGTTCCTAGCAGCAATCCTCGTTTAAAAATTTCGCCCGCCACGACGTGAAACGTAACCGGATAGTTTTCTTCATCTACATTTACATTTACTGTAAATTCACCTAACGTTTCGTTACTGCTAGAACCAAGTCCCTCAAACTTAACTTTACGATCTCGCAAGGCGGGAGATCCGATTTTCACATATTCGTCCGTTCGCATGAAAGTCAAATCACTACCCGTATCTACTAGTGCTGCAAACTTGTGTTGCCCTATCAGTACCGCTTTCATGTACTTTTGCTCACCCTGCCGTGAAACAACATTAATTTCTTTAATTGTTTCTTCGGATTTCGGGGGACATTTAGATGCTATATGCCCAAACTCATTGCACTTAAAACACTTTACGCCCTTTTGTTTTTCCGGACAGTCTGCACTTATATGGTTTGTTTCACCACAGTTGAAACACCGTTTCGGCTTCGCGTATTCTATCACTGTAGCCGGTTTCTTTGGGAAGCTTTTGCCGTCGCCTTTTCGTTCTGCTGCTTTTGTTTTTCCTTGCATTTCTCTCCTCATGTTTTCGTACTGGCCAAAGCGTTCTTTAAGCTGTTTGATAGTTGTTGCTCCATATAATATGGACTTGTTTGTTGCGTCATCGGCGATACCCTCAATAATATATTGAATCACCGCCCGCTTTTCTACCTCTGCTTGACCCGCAATCTCCATCATTTTATATATGTATTCTTGATGAGTCTCACCGGCTTTCTTTTTTCGGGCCTTTAATTCTTGATGCACCTGGTAACTGTCGACCTCTACATCAAATTCATTTTTCAGTGCGCTCTTTAGCTTTTTCCACGTCTTTCCACAGCGCTCGTACGCCACAAATAATTTGGCTGACCCCGTCAATAATTTTTTAGCGTACGCCACTTTTTGCAAGTCGGACCATTCGCACATTTCTGACATTTCTTCAAAATCCTCAATCCATCGTCGAACATTAGAGTGACCATCGCCGCTAAATTTCTCTAAGGATTCTTCCACGTCTCTAAAAATTAGCCGATGCTTTGATGGCGATCGTCGACGTCTCCTTCTTGTAGGCGTCGTCGCACGATTTCTACTGTTGCCATCGTCATAGTTTTCTTGATCTTCGTCGTCGTCGTCTTCCTTTCGACTCTTGCGGTTGTGGCGGCCGCCGTCTGCGTGCTCCACCACTCTGCCGTTCTTGTCGCCGTTTTCGTCATCGCCGTTGCCGTCGTCTTCGTCATCGCCGTTGCCGTCGTCTTCACCGTTGCCGCCGTCGTCGTCTTCATTATCTTGGGCCCCATGAACTCTCACCAACGTTAATGCGGCCATAAGACGAGTTCGTAGCTCTCGTTTGTTACCCGTCACTCGCAGCCGCCGTCGTCGCAGCTCCTCCTTGAGTTCGGTAACCGTCATGCTATTTACTCGCTCATCCGCAATATCTTCGCACACCAACTCCGTTTCTGCCTTGGGAGTTTCGTTCGTGAAAGATTCTGCCATGTTGTTTTAATTTTAATTTTGCACTGTTTTTCTCACTTATCACTTTCCACTCGCGAATAACCGTTGCTGTATCCCGGACGAGCCCCCAAAATTTGTAGGGAAATAATCAGCAATGATGGTAAATCGGTTTTATTTACAAGTGACTATGATATTACACATTAATTAAAAATAGCAAAAAGGTTAAAAATTAAAATACGTCTTCAGTTCGCAACGGCCCGTTAAAATCTGTCCTTCTTGTTGAACGCAGGTACCCGTTACACATCTGGGCTGAAAACTTTCTCTCCCTCTACGTCACAGATATTGCCAGACGCCCCTAGGAATTCCAATATTTGACCTGTCTTGTTCTTATCCTGTCATAAACAAACTAAAAATATACCTACTTAAAAGCAAAATTATGTACGGATTATATTTCTCAGGCAAACACATATCAGAGTGCGTCAACTTAAATATTTAGACAAAAAACAGATACTACATAACATATGTCAAAAATGATAGGTGACAGATGTCAAAAATGACAGGTGACAGGTGTCAAATATAATCTATAAAAGATGTCAAAAATAAACCATGTGAAACAAAAATAAGAAACAAAACAACTGAATCATTATTTTGACATGTGTCATCTGAAAAACCACCAGTTTTGAGTCACATAAAAGTTCAAGAATTTTTTTTTTAGCTCCTAGGCGGAAATTCAAAAAATAGAAAATTGGAAAATTGATCAGTATACAGGGAAAAAAAAAGTTTATTTTTTTTCAATGGATCACCCTATACATGTATTTATTTTTCGAATCCTTGTAAAATTTTAAGCATATTTCATATAACATACCATATACCCAAATTCAACCGTTTCTGAAATATTTAAATTATAATTATTTTTAAGATAATAAGTTGAAATAGTTTGTCTTTCTCTGTCTGGTACGCCATTTTTACTTATTTAACAAGATATATTGACATAATTTCACTATAGTAATTTATTTTCAATAAAAATTTTGATATACTGAGGCTTTTTGATTTATAAAAAAAACATTTAATGATAACATTTCGAATGCGAATATTTCAGAAACGGTTGAATTTAGGTATATTGTTTGTTATATGAATTATGCTCAGAATTTTACAAGGAATCGAAAAATAAATTTATATATAGGATGATCCATTGAAAAAAAATAAACTTTTTGTTTTTCCATTGAAAAAAAAATAAACTTTTTGTTTTTCCCCGTATATTGATCAATTTTCCCTTTTTTTTATACATAAAAAAAGTATTTTTTAGTACCAACATAACCACACTTTTAAATTTTTTGGGACACTTAAAATAAAAAAGTTAAAGGGGGGCGACATTATCACCCTTTACAGGTTAAGTAGTCATTTTAGAAAATAAAAAAATGACCTATCTTGCAAAAAATTAAAATATTATCGGTAATTAATTGTAGTAGGACCTTTAAAACTGTCATTTGTGGTTATCCTAGGTTATATATAATTATAATCTTCAGAAAATGTTTCCCATTATTGTGTTCGATTTGACGTGGAATGACCCACAATACTGTATTTAAATTATTTTAAATGGCAACCTCAAATTAGACAACATAATAAGTTCTACTACGCCGCACTCTCATAAAAAACCAATAATAAATCTTCCTAAAACTTAATGAACACCTAAAAAAACTAATTAAGCCACGGTTTGATAAATAGAAGAATTTATCCACACACATACATAGCCTGAGTGGATATAAAAATTCACACCGTTAAGAAAAAAGTGCTTAGATAGAAAAGAGGAAAAACAGATAAGATCTGCGACGCTAAATTTTCAAGGTTAACTTGGTAAACATATCGTATCTTCCATGACCAAGAATATACGTTGGGCACTTGATTTTTAACTCATTAGCGATGTAGTTTTGTAACATTTACTCTTCGTCTTTAAAATCCTTTTATAGTATATTATGTATCAAGTTTGATAAACGCCATTTTATACACAAATTTAATTTAGGCACGAACGAGCTTGCGAGCGAGTTCTTAAATTAATGAGTGTATAGAAAAGTTTATAAACGAGGTGCATATTATACTTTTCTACGACAAATACTTATTATTATCTTAAATGATTTAAATCAAATGTTTTTATAGAGCGCCATCTATGAAACAATATGAGAATCTGTGTGTCACCGTCAAATGTCAAATTTTTACATTTTATAAACACAATTATAAAGGTTATAAATCAAGATGTATTTTTTGAAAATTGACAGTTTTTCACAGTGAAAGTAAAGAAAATGTTTTATGAGCACTTTACAGTGGAGTCCGTGCCCGAATTTAAGTTATAGTTTAGTGCCGGCGAAATTAAAAGGTCAGTACAATTTTCATATAAACTTTTCAAATATTGGCGTTGAGAAACTATTTAATATTTTTTTATTTTTGTATTGAGATAATAAAATAATTTTCACATTTAGTATTATTTTACAAGAAAGGCAATTTATTTCAACAATTGTATGACATTTGACAACTGTCAACTAACTTAAAACTAACTTCAGCCCGTGACTAAAAACCTGTTTCTAACTTCAGCCCGTGACTAAAGCGCCATAAAGCCACAACTTGTTAATGTGTATTTAAAAGGTCACTTAGTGTCATGAAAACATGTACGATAAAGGGCGTTTTAAAGGTGGGAGTAGAAATTTTTTTTTCCAATATCTCATAAATTTCAACAAAAGCAGGGAAAGGAAATTTAAAAATTTTTGTGGTGGAGCAACTCTAAAGTTTCCCTTCACCATCCAGTTTTAAAGAATTAAAACTAATTAATAAATATCTTTCCATAAAACGGTAGTTCAAAGTAAGTTGGTCAATTACAAATTAAGTAATTTCCCATTACAACTGCTATTAAAACGGTTTGAATCTATTGAATCAAATACGTGCCTTCATTTATTAAATTAAATTGTTTTTGGATTTATTTCAACAATTTTATTATTCCTTTTTGTTGCTTGTATTAAAATTAAATTAATGTAAAACATTATTCGTTCTCAAGATATATCTTCATTATAATGATGCATAAAAGTTAAATTTAAATGAGCAAATAAGAGAATACCTAACTGTTTGTTTTATCAAAAGTAAAAAACTTGTTTTTAATTTTTGGTAATTAGTTTTACATTTCGGTAATAAAATATACATGTCGATCTATTTACAACCTTTGTTAAAGCATACAATTAAACAAAATATAAAAAATGGGTTTAACTTCAATATTTGTTTTCTTCATTTGATAATAAGGAAAATACGAGGTGTGTTCAGAAAATATCGGGAATTTTTGTTTTTTGAAACAAATATTTATTTATTCGTCTACATTAATGTTGTCGCCTTCAAAATAGTCCCCATGGGATATTAGGCACATGTGCCAGCTCTTCTTCCAATACTCGAAACACTTCTAAAACTCGATCTTTGGGATAGCCTTTAGTTCTTTCAGCGATGCACTTTTAATGTCATCATTGCTTGCAAAACGACGGCCCTTTAAGGTTCTCTTTATTTTTGGGAATAGGAAAAAGTCAGACAGAGGCATGTCTGGCGAATATGGAGGTTGGGGCATCATTACAGTATTGCTTTTGGCCAAAAATTTTGTTCAAAATAAAAATTTTAGAACAAATTTTTCTGCCACGCGTTTCATACCCAAAACATTCGAAAAAATTTCATGGGATGAGCCAATTGATATACAAACATCATCAGCGACTTCTCTGATGGTTTATAACCATTTCTTTCACTTTTCCATGTTTTTATCGGTTGTTAATGTGCTTGTGCGTTCAGGGCGTTCGTCATCTTTAACGTCTTCACGGCCATCTTGGAAACTCTTATACCACTTGTAAACTCTTGTTTTACTTATAGCAGACTCACTATAGGCCTTTGTTAACATTTCACAGAATTTATTTCATTTTTTAAGCAAAATTGGATACAAATTCTTTGATCCATTTCTTTTAACGAACTAAAAATCGCCGAGCTCATAAAACACGTCTAACCTTAGCGGCTGCCACAGACAAAGTAAACAATGAAAACAGCTAAAGTTTTTATCATACTTCGGGGGCATGTATACCAACATAATAAAGATAATTTTATGACAACCGGACCCTCCGAACCCGCGTAATTTAACAATTCCCTTTATTTTCTGAACACACCTCGTATAAGCATTTTCCAAAAAAGCCTATGACCGCATATTCCTGTCCTCCCCCATATGTCATTGTTATTTATAT